GCTGAGCCTGATGGCATCCATCTTTTATCCCAACACTTGGGAGGCAGAGGCAGGCAGATCTCTATGAGATTGAGGCTAACCTTGTCTACCTAGTCAGTTCCAGGCCAGCTAGGGCTACACAGTCTCAAAAAGATAAAAATAAGGTGTTGGAGAGATGGCTCAGTAGTTAAGAGCACTGGCTGCTCTTGCAGAAGACCCAGGTTCAGTTCCCAGCGCCCCCACAGTGGCTAACAACCATTCATAACTCCAGTTCCATAGGATATGATTTGATGCCCTCTTCTGACCTCCACCAGCATTGCATGCATGGGTGCACCTTTTTTTTTTTTTTCTTTTTGAGTCTCTCTGTAGCCCCAGCTGGCCTGGAAAGCCCTATGTAGACCAGACTAGCCTGGAACTCACAGAGATCGCCTGCCTCTACCACCTGAGTGCTGGGGTTAAAGGCATGCACCACCATACCCAGCATGGGTTCACTTATATACATGGAGACAAAACATTCATACACATCAAATAATAATAAATTTTTAAAAGTATTTTAAAAATAAAGACAGCCAGGTATGGTGGTGCATGCCTTTAATCCCAGCACTTGGGAGGCAGAGGCAGGCAGATCTCTGTGAGTTCAAGGCCAGCCTGGTCTACATAGTGAGTTCCAGGACAGCTGGGGCTACAGGGAGACCCTGTCTCAAAAAGACAATAAATAAATAAAACAGGGTCAAGAGTGGTAGCAGATGCCTTTAATCCCAGTACTATGGTGGTACTTGCCTCTAGTCCTAGCACTTGGGAGGCAGAGGCAGACAAATCTCTATGAGTTTGAGGCCAGTCTGGTCTACATAGTGAGTTCCAGGCCAGCTGTGGCTACAGGGAGATCCTGTCTCAAAAAGAGCAATCAATAAATAAGTAAATAAATAAAGACAAATAAATACAAATAAACATCTTTTGATGAGTGTATTACTTGCATGTATATAAGTGTACCTGTGTTGTACAATGCCTGAGGAGGTCAGAAGAGGGTGTTGGATCACTGGAACTGGAGTAACAGGACAGTTTTTAGCCACTATGTGGGTGCTGGGAATGAAACCCAGGTCCTCTGCAAGAGCAGCCAGTGTTCTTAACCACTGAATCGGCAGGCAGAGGCAGGTAGATCTCCATGAGTTCAAGGCCAGCCTGGTCTACATAGTGAGCTCCAAGCCAGCTGGGGCTACAGGGAGACCCTGTCTCAAAAAGACCAAATAAATAAATAAATAAATAAATAA